TGCAAGCTACTGCAGAACATAATTTTTGTCACTGATGGTGTGATGGCAAAACATCTCAAGTGTCTTACTTATATATGAATATCATACACATTAGAGCGGAACGATCAATATTGAAATTTAACAATGCAATTTTCAAATTGCAAAGCATATGATCTAAGAAACACTACAGATTTATAAACAATCAGAGGTGTCCCCACAGGCTTCAGGTGCCCACACTCTGTTCTCCACCACAGGCTTCATGTGAAACTTGCAGAGGGATGGATGGATTACTGATCTCGTCGACTGGGCACTGACCCAGAAGCCCCCTGAGCTCTAAACTCCTATGGGGATCATCTTGCCCTGGGTATGAGGAAGACACACGGTGGGCCTGTGCTGACTGTTCCACTGAAGTCTTCCTCACATTAGATTAATAAATAAGAGCTTTTACCTCTGTCTTAAGAAAGATCAGTTGCAGTTCGACATCTTTGTTCATTTCAATGAGTCTCTGTGTGTTGAGTGAAAACTTATTGATGACTCCGTTGAATGGTCCATGTTCTGCTTCATTTCTGAAACAGTAACAAGTTGAAATGTTTCATATTGGTAACAATGTAAAATCTCCATATTATTATTACATGATTTCTATATATGTACATATGGCATGGTATAATTTGAGTAGTTTCATAATAAAATGTAAAATATTTTAATTCAAATTCTCCATAGTCTATAATATGTGTCATCCAAGGTTTATGTTCCCATTAAATACATTTCTTACGGAAAGGTCTTCCTGAATTCCTCATCAATGCTGTCAGTCAGGGATGAAGACAACATCACATTCAGGTATATTTGTTTCCTTTTCTTTGGTTTGTAGGTACCACTGTTCTCAACTACACACCTCAATGTCTCATGAAAATCGCTACGTGCTTGTTTCTTAGGAAAAACACAAAAAATGTCTTTAAAAGCACTCCTATAAATGACAAAGTTCTTTTAATGAAATTATTGTGGAAATACATACAGGATATAAGATGGACTTCAACTTTTCTTCACAGAAGCTTTTTGATTTTTCAACCCCCTCAGTAAGGCATCTATCAAAAGCCTCATTAGACTTTTTGACAGATTTTCTGACTTCATCAAGTTCTTGCTTCAGTTTTGCTTCAAGGTTTTTGTACACATCCATTTTTTTGCCAGTCTGAAAAAACAACACATTCAGAATTTAGCCATGGTGGAGCAGTGGTTACCACTGTTGCTTCACAGCAAAAATTCCAGTTTCAAGCACTGGCTGACCCAATGCCTTTATGTGCAGAGTCTGCATGTTCTTCCTCTCACAGTCCAAAGACATGGAGTTTGGGTTGACTGGTGACTCGTTGTGTCTTAGTCCACCACCCCTATTTAGTGAGGGGTGTTCTATTTTTACGAAAATAGCTTCCTTAACTCCTCTCTCAAACCAACGATGTTCTCTGGAGAGGACCTGGACTTCACTGTCCTCAAAAGAATGTCCTTTGTCCTTCAGGTGGAGGTGGACTGCTGACTCTGGTCCACTGGGGTTGGCCCTCCTGTGTTGGGCCAAGGGTTTGTGCAGCGGTTGCTTGTTTTCACCAATGTACAAGTTGTTGTACAATGCTCTGTGCCCATTAGAGATCCAGCCACGGGCCCATCCATCTGCTCACTCTCATCAGCCCATAAAACCTTTGAAAAATCTGTCTTCAGATATTTCTTGGCCCAGTCTTGATGTTTCAACTTGTGTGTCTTGCTCAGTGGTGGTCGGGTTTCAGCCTTCCGTACACCTTGGCCATGTCTCTTGCAGTTCTGGAACATGACAGCACTGTAGGATACTGGGTTCATAGTAGTTTCACGTTTGCTTCTTCTCAAATCTTTTGCAGTTAATTTGCGTCCCTTTTCCTGAACATGTTTCTTGCGACCCTGTTGACCATTTGCAACAAAACATTTGACGGTTCTGTGATTACGCCCCAATATCTTAAAAATTTCAAGAATGCTGCATCCCTTTGAATAACTTTTTACAATTATTGACTTTTCACATTTGGTTAAGTCTCTTTTTTGGCCCATTTTGCCTGAGGAAAAGAAGCTGCCTAATAATTATGGACACCTTGATATATGCACACCCTCCCTCATTACACATCAACTGATATGCTTAAATTCAATAGGCATTCAAGTTTATACAGCTTGGAGTTGGAAAATATACACAAAATGATGATATGGTCAAAATACTCACTTGCCTAATAACTGCACACACAGTGTATTATTATGTGGAATGACATGACCAATAGAGTTTGTTAAGTGGCAAGGTTTCACAAACACTAGGGGCAGCTGATGCTAAATTACAGGATAGGGTACCACTTGCTCATCAACAATGTTTTAGCACAAAAACGTCAATGTAAAATATGCTTAGTACTACTAATAAAAATATGGTACAAAACTAAAACGTTATCCTTACACAAAAGGCTGTATTTAAGTGAAATCTTTACCAACATTGATGATATTCTCAGATTATCTAGAAAAACAATGTATACACACTAACAGATTTTCAAGTGCACTATAACCATCCCAAGCATGTTTTTAAAACTTGTCCAACTGTAAAACGTGTATTTTAGCCATTGCAGCTACTTATTTAATTACTAAAAAAAATTAAATGGAAACAAACATTGTGGCTGCAGATGAACTACTCATTTCAACAAAATAACTTATAGTCGAACACTATCATGTTGTCCGTGATAAACTGTGATATCTGCTGTTACACAAAAAAAAACTCTTCATGACCATGAAAGGTTATTACTATAAATACCTAAAGCTGGCTGTGTAATGATCTTTGTTGGTGCAAATCAATCCAAGTGAAATAAGGAAGACATTTAAAGACTCACTGCTTTGTATCGCTGACTTCCATCTTCAGAGACAATGCCAGACCTTGGGTCAGACTTTCTGACTGTAATACACAACTAGACCACAAGCACATATTCACATTTAAAAATCAAAAGATTAGTCACATCTCTGTCACTAATGCCTCTCAGGCTCCCATGGATCACTGCAGTTACGGCTGAAAATTTTTATTACAGCGTGGTGGTTGTATGCCTCCGTCAACCAGCCAAATTCAGGGAAATGGGACCGATGCGAGAATTCAGTGACTTCAACTTTGACTAGTGAAATCTAATAAGATCATCCTCAAGTTCAAAAGATTGTTTATGCCAAATTTGAAGACTGTTCCTGAGATATCATGTTCACAAAAAAGGGCCAGACAGATGGACAAAAAACCTGAAAACATAATGCTTCCACCTACAAATATCCTGGGCACAGAGGGATAAAAAAAGCAGGATACAGGAAAACTGTATAAAAATATTTCAAATGTCTGTTTCTAATTGGATATTTAAAAATATTTGGTTGATTGCTACAGTAATTGATAAATAAAAAAAGCTGTTTTAACAGTACCATATTGTTTGTCATGTACATATGGTTGAAATAACACAGGTCATAATAGAACATGAGGTCCAAACTAAAATACTGTACAAAAACAGCAGCCTTAAAACTACTCTACCGTCTCTAGTGAGACTCAAAATAAACTGACAATACACCGTTTCTAACCGCCCTTTGCCACTCCCATCACATCTCATTTCCCAGCAGTGAGGCAAACTGTGGATGCCTGGTTGGGACAAACTGTACACAACGCGGCGTCCAGTCCCTTTACTAACAAGTAAATGTTAGTCCAGTAGAACGCTCTGGTTACTGCTGATGTGATACAAAGCACTAATGTTACACAAAGCTCACATTAGTCCCAAATTAAAATCAAATTAATTCAACACAAAGGTTGCTAACGTTACCAAAACAAACAATTTTAGATGCCAACACATCCAGAAGGCCACATGTGAATCAAATGAGTCCTTTGGCTGCTTTTAACCCTCTCCATTTCAAAAAGCCAAACTGATGTTAACCCTGGTTGTTGCTCTTTCTTTGTCCCACTCTCTCTGTATAAATCACACCACCTCTTCACTCTGGCAGCCTCTGTTTTAGCAGACAAAAGCTTCTATATAGCTGGCTGTTTGAAATGACCACTCGTGGTTTGAAAACATTTCTTATAACCTTCACCAGGTCGCAGTCGGGGCTAATTTACAGACCGTACTTTGACAACACAGAGTAGAAGCTAGAATAAGTGTCATGGGGTGTCATATAGCTCAGAAACACTACATCCCTTCACATTTTCACTGGATTTATCAGACAATGTGTAAAATCTTAGCTAATCATCTTTAAAGTTGCATACCTTACTCCAGAGTCTACAGTGATGCATTTCATGTCAAAAGACTGATCATCCACAGGAGCCTGCAATGTCTCCAGAACCTACACACACACACACGTGTTTCCATGACTTCAAGGGGACATAACAGTGGCTTACCAATTTCCTGGACACTTACCCTCACATTAGCTATTACCTACCTATCCTGCTGGCTGAATTCATTTTTAAAAATGGGGAAACTGACAAGCATTTATTTGGTAGTACCTCCCAGTGCACTGGTTACTTAATAGAAAGCATCTGTAAGGATGTACACAGGCATAACATTCCAACCTTATTCAGGGTGCAGTACTGCTCCAGGAGGGGGACATGGCGTACTTCTCTGGCCATCTGCATGGCAGTCTCCAGTGCCGTAATCCTCTCCTGAACATGGCGCACTTCCTCTTGAGTGGTGAAGAAATGTGCCTCCAGTTTTGTCAGCTGACTCAACTGCACATCTCTCCTGCAGAAAAAGAAACAACTGCTATCAAAATAATTATCACTGCGCAGGCTTTCTTCACTAAATCTTAAAACTGGCCTGATACAAGCCTGTGTTTGTTAAGAGAATAAGCATATAAAACAATGTGAAGACAAACAAAACCTGTGTGCACGCCTCGCTTTCATTAAAATAGATGTTTCCAACAAAGAACATGGGACCTTATCGTACAGTAAAGCTGCAACAATTAGTCCATTAATCGATTAGTTGACTGACAGAAAATGTATGGCCAACTATTTGATAATCAATTCATTCTCAATTTTCAAGCAAAAATTCCAAAAATTCAATAGTTGTACATGCTTTTCTTGATCTTGCATTATAGGAAACTGAATATTTTAAGGTTTAGGGCTGTCTGGGACAAAATGAGAAATTTAATGAAGTCACCCTGGCCTCTAGAACAGTCTATTTGACCCAAAGATTAATCAAGAACATAACTGGTAGTCATGCTATTTAAGTACATTTTTGAAAGTTTGCATTCATACCACTCTTGGATAATATGAACAGCCGCGTCTGTAACTTGCTTGATCTCCATGTCCAGCCGAGCTGTGTCTCTCTTCACCTGTTCTGCCAGACCAGTTTTCAGTGTCTGCACAGATCAAACACATACACAAACATTCCAGCAATGCAAACACAATGTCTTCTGACTTGGCATTTCCTTTGATATGTAAAGTTAAATTTTTTTTCCTCTTAGTAAATAACATCTACAACCATGTCCTATAAGATGTGCACAGTATTATAGACATAGTACAGCTTTCACCTCACGGATGTGTTCCAGCTGGGCAAGATTTTCTGCAGCCCGGACCAACACCTCAGCCACCTCATTCTCGATATTGGCTGGCTGTATAAAACAGAACCATAATTTTACCAATTTTGATCTGAACTGTTTAAGTTCACTGTAGCCCATTAACCACCACACTCAACTTAAACTCTTAATTTGAAAGTAGAGGGCAGACTACAAATTTACATCACAACTGAGCTGTAGTCATGTTGTCCCCAGCCACATCCTCTAACTCCTTTAGCAGGGTTCCCCCTACCACAATAAGGCATAAGCAAAGCACCTAAATGTTTCTGCAGAGCGCCTAAGTCAAAAGAATGTTAAAAAAAAGCAACCTATTGGAATAAATGTAAAAACAATGGTGAGTTATATGCTGAAAAATATTGAAAAGGTGACTTGATCTCAAAATGGAATAGCTGCAACAGTAGGGGTGGTCCAATCAGGATTTTTGGGGCCAATCACCGATCTCCGATCACTAGAAGCTGTATCGTCCGATACCAATCACAGGGTCTACTTGAAGCCTTATCATGTATCATTATTTATTAAACTATATTTAACAACAATGTAAATTAAGTACTGAAATTACAAGAAGAGGAATATCATGAA